AAGGTTTTGGAGGAAAGAACTACAAAATGGGCATTGAGGAAATTAAGGAAGTATCTTTAGGTATTAAAACAATTCAAAAACTGTCTGTTAAAACTGGGAGGTAACTCAGCAGTACTTCACTATTTGATGTCACTGTTTGAGCACGGAAAATATTTGAAGTACTCATCTGGGGAATGAAGCATCTTGTCTATTAGGCTATATAAATGAAAGATGAGACTTTGAGCACTTTGAAAGTGTCAAAACTAATTATTTATAATGTACTACTCCCCTAAACATTTTTAGATTCACACCTTGGGGAAAATTCTTGATCTGATAAAAAATTTCAGTAAAAGTTATTTGGTTATGAAAACCTTTCAATAAGGACCTCTGAATTTGTCATTTCCAAGCAATCTATTAATGTGTGTTGTCAATTGACTTCCACAGACTACAGGAAAAAGCTGCTGACACTATTGAAGCACTCCAGAAAGCTGGAATTAAAGTTTGGGTTCTGACGGGAGACAAAATGGAGACTGCTGCAGCGACTTGCTATGCTTGCAAACTCTTCCGGAGAAATACACAAATACTTGAGCTAACCACAAAGAAAATTGAGGAACAGAGTTTACACGATGTGCTTTTTGACCTAAGCAAAACTGTTCTAAGACACAATGGCAGCTTAACCAGGGATACTTTCTCAGGGTAAGGAAAAAGTTGAGTTTTCAAGCCAGGAATGGGCTTCTCTGCATTTCATGAACAATTAAATAATTGGTCAGTTACTTAAAGTGTGAATTGCTGTCCGTTGTTAAAGTGTGAATTGCTGTCTGGCAATTAAGTATGTTTGTTCCACATAAGTTTAAATTTTCAGTCATGGTTCTTTCTCTTTTGTGCTACTGCTTTAACTGTTAGAAGAAAAATGACAACTGACATTGTAATTAGAGATTTTTCCACTGCAAAAATACTTATTCTTGGAAAAAAATATTGTAAAGCAAAATACTCTTTCTAACTTTTAAAAGGGAAGCAGATATGATATATTCCTGTAATCAGAGTTAGTATGTGATGTGACCTTCTTGATAAGACCAAGGCCACAGACAGCAAGAATGTGTGGCCCTCTTTCTAGGGAAGATTATGCTACGTTTATAGACAGGTGACAGGCAGCAGCGTAGTACCAAATCTTCTGGTGTGCCTAAAAATACTTCAAGTGCCCTAAATTATAAAGAAATCATCAACTTCTGTGTATTTTGAATACGCATAGAAGGATAGATATCATGTATACAGAAGTGAAACACAACATGGAATACGATAGAAAATGGCATTAAAAAGCAAAAACCAGGTATCATGTAAATTTTGCCTCATGCTGGTAGTAAATTAGGGTACTTATTTGAAGCTTTGAGGCTGGTCCACATTACTTGCTCTTTTTTCACCCACTGTAAAAACCTAAGAATTAGATTCTGAAACATTTTTATCATCTTAAGATGTTAAGAAAATAAGTTACTGTTCTTCCAGATATAATGGTGCGTATTTGATTTGCTTTTCTTTAATATGGAAACAGCTAGCAAGTACATTTTATATGCATTTGTAATAAGTTTGTAGTAAAGGAACAACAAGCTAACAAGCATTTGTGATCTTATTTTAGCAGACATATAACTCTTAGCCTTACAGCTTGAAATTGTGGCCAGAGCGTTTTTCTTAGCTCTCCTTAGACTTTAAACCCCATTGGTCTAACCAAGAACATTTGTATATTCAGTTAAATAAATCATATGTTTCTATGCCATCTGTACCAGATTTAGCTCAAGTCCCACAGCTCTTACAAGGTATGTTTAAACATGTTCGTTTAACTTTTTATGCAACACCAATTTTCTAGACGTTAAGGCTCATCAGAATTTTTGGTCCTTTGCTCTAGGCTTGCAGAAAGTGCTAAGAGAGTAATAGCAGGATTCTGCCTGGATGTTCAAATTCAGGCTGAAAATCTTTCACTCTAATACCTCAAACATTCAGTACATCGCCTGAACTTCATAATACTACATTTTTGGTTGATATCATTGTATACTAATGACATTGCCCTATTTGTGCCAATGGTAACGAGGTGCTGAAAGTATCTGTGAACTGTTACTATAGTTTACAGTTCTTTATATTTGTCAAAAATAGCTTGTGTTCTAGTAGTGAAGATGGAGATGCTTAAAATATATTAATAAATATGGTGTTTTCCTCACAAACATTGGTCCTGGTGAAACCATGTTGGATGAAAACCCACGCGCAGTAGTATAACCTTGGAGCACTGAAACTAGAGCACCATTAAACCTGAATGTGTGTTCCTACAACACTTGCTGCTGGGCTGGAGCCTGAGGCTGCTGCGTAATGCGGGCAAATGCAAGGGTGCTCTGAAATAACTGGGCTGGATGCCGCGGAAAGCTGCTCCTGTAGCACGGGGCGTCATCCCCCCTTGTTCAGCCGATGTTGCTGCGGTACACTGTGCTTCATGCCACCACGGTTACGCTTCTGGCAATGCCCTAATTATTACAGGTATACCGGTAATAGATTAATGTATATAATAATATATTCTGATATTATAGATAACATATATAATGACTAGATTTTAATATTATAATTACAGCTGTACCTGTATCAGACTTTGCCACCACACTAAACACAAAGTAGGCATGCTGTAAATGTAGAGAGTGGCCTTCTTTCTTCAGGCCAACAAGTCTCTCTTAGGCATTTCCTTCAAAGCATCATTTACTTCGTTAAATGTAAACCCTTGGGACAAAAAGATTATTTTCCTCATCAAAGTGAATTTCAGAGTACCAAAGGCCTTTCCCTTTAACTTTTTCTCTATATTATGGAATGTGCCACAAAATCAGCTTTATTCCTGCAGCTCAGTTTACCTCACTGCAGTTCTTGGAGCCCTTTCAAACCAAACTGGAAGGTCGTTAATTGTACACTCACACGCACTGGTGAAGTCACCGAGGTGTCACATTCCTGTCTTTGAACCGGTGAAGCACTGACAATTTTCAACATAATCTAGAGTTTTAAAATGTCATAAATAGCACTCCTATACAAGGCATTTCCTTTAGAAGTATATTAATTTTGCAGTATTCCATGCTAAGTATTTTTTCATTAATTAATTTTCACAAAAGAACTATTGCCAAATTTTAAGTATGTCTGAGAATTTTACCGTGACACTAAGTTTATATTTTATCCCTGAACAGACTTTCAACTGATATGCAAGATTATGGTTTAATTATTGATGGAGCAGCATTATCATTAATAATGAAACCGAGACAAGATGGGAGCTCTGGTAACTACAGAGAGCTCTTTCTTGAAATTTGCAGGAACTGCAGTGCCGTGTTATGCTGTCGAATGGCACCTCTGCAAAAAGCACAGGTTTGTGTTTCATTTCGTAATTGCTTCTTAGCTGTGCACAGATGTAAATATTGAAAGTTAATTCTCTGTATGACTGATTATCATAACTTGAAATGTTACCGTTCACTTTTGTATCTTCTCAAATGGAAAAAGCAGAAAAAAAAAAAGGGAGAGGGGAGAATTTCTACTGGCAAGCAGTTTAGATAATGGTATGCTAAAATGGCACCCAGCTGTGCACCTGAACTTGATTTATGTACATATTGTGCAAATTTTACGGTTGGTATATGCTGATAAATGAACATATTTAATGAACTGAACTAATTGCTTCCTTTTTAACCTAACAAGCTTTGAATAGTCTACTATCTGTTGATATTACAAGAACCTACATTATTTATTACTGTAGAGTGATATTTCTGTATTTTTAACATGTGGGAAGCCAAGAAAAGAAGAATCCAGACAGAAGAAATGTGTGCATTATCATTTTTAAGTACTTCTTGACTCTTGTATACTAGTTTGTATCAAGTAAAAACGTATCCTTTCGTTACTGAAACATCTCAGTATACCTGAAGAACTTTTAAAGGAAATAAACATTGGAATATACACTTCTTTTTTCCTTTCAGGCTGTTATGTCTTTTTCTCAGTGCTCAAGTACAGCATACGTAGCCCTTATTTTAAAAAAATGTATTTAGCCAGCACTTATAACTGTCTGGAAGCTTGTAGAAGTTTTTAGTTGCAGCTGACTCCGTACTAAATTTACAGAGGTGATAATTTATAGTGGAGAGATTTGAAGTCAAATTTTTGGACAGTTTCTATGTCAATAGTGTTTAGATATATACAGAGTCCTATTATCTTTTCTTAAATAGTAAGAAAACATTTCAGGACAGTTAAGAGAGCAGGATCTTTCAGTCCTTAGTTTAAGGATATCTTTGAAATTGTGTGCTCTGTCTCTGAAACCCTTTTGATTTATTAATGCACTTACACAGCATTAAGCAATCTCAACAACATCTTCCTTTCTTCTGCTCTTCCTTCCTCATGTCCAACTCTCTCCAAATAGTTTGGAAGTATTTGAAAAATGTTATCTTCTATTTGGAACAAATACTTTTAACATGAAGAAACTACTGTGATCTTTATGCATAGTAGTTGCATTAGGTAATACCAGTTTTGTGTTCCTGCACAGAATTTCTTGTATAACTGTGTTGGTCATTTTTAATTGAGCGTATACTCATGCAAAATAAGCAAACCATTACAGAGAAGAGTTTTTAACACTATTTTTTTCCAGATTGTAAAATTGATTAAGTTATCAAAGGAGCATCCTATCACATTAGCAATTGGTGATGGAGCAAATGATGTCAGTATGATTCTAGAAGCACATGTTGGTATAGGTAAGTGTGCTTTTTAGAATATTAATTCAAGTGAAACGGCAAAAAAAATTTACTTCTTAAAAACAGGCAGTCTCAAAGAATCAGGTTATACATTTTATAGACAACTTTTAGTGAATTTACCCCAGGAATTTTATGAGATACAGTGGTGATCTCTTATTAGATCAATGTCATAGCATTATTATATAATTTTACAAATAATTGTATCTTTGAAATAGTTCTTCAGTTATCAAACAACTTCATCACTTTTTTTTTTTAAAGGAATCATTGGCAAAGAAGGTCGTCAAGCAGCAAGAAACAGTGACTATGCAATACCTAAATTTAAACATTTGAAAAAAATGTTGCTTGTTCATGGGCATTTTTATTATGTTAGGATATCTGAACTTGTGCAATACTTCTTTTATAAGGTAGGAGAATGCTTATTCTAATTGCCTATATGTCAAAAACGTACAGGGTAATACCTAACTATATACGGTTTGCGCAGTCAATGGTACAAAAAAGCAATAATCCCATAAAGAGATTTTGTTGAGTGCCAGATGCAAAGGTGAAATGGGATTATTGTTTTTATCCAGACTATGACATGAAATAGCTTTTATATAGATATATATTCTGTAATCTATGGTACATTTAAAAGCAAAATTTGCCTATCTTTTTTTTTTTCTCTCTTTCAAATTTCAACACAGACTGTTCTACTTATTTTCAGTACCTTCTGGGTTCCCTCTACAGTGGTCTTTTAAATCAAGTTGGAAATAGTATTTGAGAACTTAGCATAACTTAATTTACATTAGTTTCTAAATTCATTAGGGTAGTGTAGGTGGAGAAGGTTTATCATGTGCATCCCCCTGTTTAGATAGTTTTGTTATGTGTGAATGTTGGGATCTAATCACAGTTCTTTCAGTAAGCAATGGAAGGTTGTAGATAATTCAAGGTCTTAGTGTTTCACCGTACATATAGTTAGGGGACGATGAAGTTTGGGGTCACGGCTAGAAACGTCTTAAAATTACTTTGCTGGGACCCATGCTAACCACAGTATCCATGCTTGCTTATCCCAGTTTGTGTCCTGCTGTGGATTGTGCCGTATTTGCCTTGCCTTAACTGAGCTGTGCTCCTGGATCACAAAATTCATTGCCCTTGAATTTTGAAACTGTAGCCTTAGAAGTTTGGTTTCGAAATATTTTTAGTGTTTTTCTTAACAGTACTACTGTAAGATGAGAATGCTGATGTTTAATGTATGCAGCTCTTTCTACTGTTCCTGCAATGTTTACTATTACTAGTGTTATAAAACGATGATATACATAGCTATAGAATTGTAGAGCATATAAATTAATGCTTGTATTTCACTTGACAACTGTGTCACTTTGTCTTTCAGAATGTCTGCTTCATTTTTCCTCAGTTTTTATATCAGTTCTTCTGTGGGTTTTCACAACAGGTTAGTTCTTTTTCCCTTACTACCACATTTTCTCTTTGGCATTTTTTTTTGGAAAAATGGATCCTTTAACACTGGGCCTGTTTAACTGAGAAAATTTCTCGGTTAGGTAACGCACTGTAAAAAGAAGAGCATCCTTTTGGTTCATATGGTTTTCAGTGGCAATTGCAGTTAAGTTGGAGAAATCAGTTTTATGAATTATCATGAAAGCAGTGTTATTTTCAAAGTTGAATACAGGAAACCAAAATTTGGAAATGGCAATGCAAAGTGAAGTGTCTGTGGGAAATGTAGAGTCTGTTAGGTTTAAACTTCTTGAACATGGACAGAGGCAGTTCTGAACGATAAGTAATTGAACTAGTTGTTCATTTTCAGAATTCACAATGAAAATGGAAGAATAAGCTAGTCTTCTCTGGCATGTACAGGTATGAATTGCAAACCTCAGGCAAATAGCAGCATTTAACTAGCAGGAAAGAAAAAATAAACATGGAAAGGCAGAGGAAAAGTGAACTGCTGCTCACCAGAAATGTGCCATCATTCAGGAGAGGATCCAGTATTCTCCTTTCTAAATTCTTGTTTATTTAATTTTCCCCTTTCACCTAATTTGTGCAGAAAAATCCTCCTCTTCTTTCTTCTAAGTGAGGGAGCAAAAACCAAAGGAATGAATGACAGGACTTAGACAAAAGGAGGATTAAGTTTTTGAGATTAAATTGGACAAGAGGAGGATTGAATTGGGAGAAAATAGTACTGCTGCTTTCAATTTGTGGAATGTCTCAAAAGGAAGCTCCAGGAGGAGTAAAAATGACAGAACTATTTTTTTTTGTCTGTTTTGGTATTAATTTCAAATGACTGCTGAAAACTTTGTAGGTTTTTGTCAAGCATTATTAGGATTTAGATATGAAAGCATGTGTCGATGGAAATTTAGTTTAATTTCCTGTTAAGTGCTAAATATAGTTCTGAATCAAAAAGGGAGTTTAGACAGCAATTTTTACGGCATAAATGATCACCAAATAGGTTTTGGGAAGTAAACAACTCTTTTTGTGGGGTGACGGGGTAGATTTGAGGGCTGGTTACAATGATGATACGCACACGGAAAAGTAGTTCAACAGGAAGAACAATCAAAGAGCTGTTGGGGTGTTTCTTTGTAGAGCTCATTGCAGTCACCCACAGCTGAAGAACCTCCGGCGTACTCCTCCTTCCTCCCTGCCTGTCTCCATGTTACAGAGGTGTGGAGGAGATAAAAGGGGGAGGATGTGCCAGAGAGGAATTTCTGTCTCTACAGGAATCTGCTGTTGTTCAGTTCAGGTAGTTTGGAGTTGATCTTACAGTTGAAACAATAGGAGGGGCCAGTACATGGACCAGATCTTTTAGTTGATCTTTTGTCCTCCAGATGAATGGGGTACAAGTGCAGAGTTGTGTCTTAGACTAGTTAGCAGCTGTTCAGGGATATTTGCTGCCATTCTGAAGGGATATAGTTTTGTTTTTTCTGAAGAAGTTGACTCACTCATTTTAAATCAAGTGTCATGCGGTGGATCGTGTTTTAAAATTTAAACTTGCTGGTTTAATGCTCTTCCATTTGCAGACTTTGTACGATACTGCATATCTAACACTGTACAATATCAGCTTCACTTCCCTTCCTATCCTCTTGTATGGTCTAATGGAACAACACGTCAGTGCAGACACGCTCAAGAGAGAGCCTTCCCTCTACAGGTAAAATTAATACATTGTGCCCCAAAGTTTGACTGTTCAGTTGTGGGATCTGTCTCTGTTTTAGCGGAAGTCCGCAGGATTTCTGTACCACAAGGTTACAGTAGAACATCAGAGCAAGAGAAGGGTTGAAGACCACGTGCACAGTCTATAAACTACAATAGATACACATGCACTTTTACATGAATATTTACATACTGCAATCCACACCATTCGTTTGCTACATTAGTGAGCGAAAGCAAGATAGAAATTACTGTTCTACAAATCAAAATATGATTTATTTTAGTACTTTCTATTTCCTCCAGCCATGGGGAACAAAGGTACTTTAAAAAGAGAAAACATACTGTTTCTTCTATACACGTGTTTTATTCTGAATGAAGAGAGGACTGAGTGGTAGAGCGTTGTATCGCAGGATGTATTTTGTGTGGTGTCCACTGTTGTCCTCTGCAAGTTGTTGACTCACTTCTGGGCACTGGAATCGTGGCTGGTTTAGATTCTTAGCCACTTGAAATAGAGTTCTTGCCATTTAACTGCACGTGAACATCTAAATTAGGAGCAGTGCCCAGTTTTGACTCTTGTAGCAGTACATTTCAGAGAGTGGTAACAGTAGATAATCAAAGGGGAGGACACTTTTTGAGCAAGGTAATATTAAATGCCCAAAGGTTAATCAATGGAGTGATCCCGTTTTACCTATGAAATTGAAGAGGAATACAAGGTATTACTGTTGAAACCCAAACGCCCCATTTTTATTTTCTCTTCGATATTTTAAACGTTTTCAATTTAGAAATGGTCAATCAGGAAACCTTTTTGGTTTTTGAAAGCTAGCAGAGGTTATTTGGTCAAAACCGTTTGGGTTTTGGTATCTAACAGGGTCTGTTGCTAAGCTGTTTTGGGCAATAGTGCAGTTGTTCTGGGCCAGATGAGGCTACTGTTGGCCACATATGGGTTTGCACTGTATATTGGTAATCGTTGGGGACAAATGACTACGTATGGTCATCAGACAGCTCTTAAAGTGCATATGGTGAAAGTATGGGTTGGTAGTAAATGTTTCTGTAATTCAGGGTTTACGTTTAACTGTGTTCTGATTTACTCTGTGTTTTATGATATATGCCAAGTTGATATATACTCATTCGGTGTGCAAGATCTGAAGATGTAATATTTAAATTTTTCTGTAATAAGAAAATGCATGCTAGTAAATGGTTCTGTTGTTGACCAACCCCTGTATTTTTTGTGAGAAAACATTCAAGAAATCAAATGTGACCTGAAGCTTCAACTGAACTGCAAAATCCTTGTTTTGCGTGTTCCATATAAAATTAATATCTGGTTTTGTTACAGTATTCTGTATCAAAAGTGCCCCATGGGAAATAAAGCGAAGTCTCCGGAGACCTCTAGTGTTTCCATTTAAAATCTACAGCACATCATCACAGCAAATACTGGAAAAAAGATACCTTCTGTAAAAAGATTGAAAAGTAAACGGGGGCAGCACAGGAGAACTTACCATATGGTTGAAACAGGCAGAATTACAGGCAGTTAAAAAGGTTTAGTAGAAACTAAATAAAAAATAAAGAGGAGGTGTTTAGGAAGGATTTGGATGTGAAGTGGTAGACAGTTGCCATGTGTAGATGTGGTGGTTTTGCATGTAATCTCTTGGTTGGTTTTTGTTGAAAAAACAACGTAAGTGACATCATTTATCTAAGCTTTTTGAACATGCTGATGCTGAATGCACGTATCTTGTTTTACACAGAGATGTTGCCAAGAATGCTTTGCTGCGCTGGCGTGCATTTATTTATTGGACATTCCTAGGAGTGTTTGATGCTGTGGTATTTTTCTTTGGTGCCTATTTCTTGTTTGAGAACACAGTTGTGACCAGCAATGGACAGGTTAGTGTTGGACTTGATCAGTCAATCAAAGGTAATTTTTTTAATGTCAAGTGTGTTATGAATGTAGTTTTAATTGTTTACTTCAAGATTTCCAGCACAGATGATAACTGTTTTGTGACTTATGGTGAGATAGATGGGTTATGTGTTTAGCAAAGTCTAAACTATGCAATAGGAATTCTGTGTATCAGTAAACAGAGGCATAGGATTAGATACGATTTAGGAGAAATATATATTGTGAATTCCAAGTATTCCTTCAGAATTTACATAGTAACTTTTCCGTTTTGTGCCTGACATGCATCTGATGAATATCTGATTAATCTATCCAAAGACTTCTGGTAGAGTAGTTATAAATGATCATAAAAGAGCTTAAATATAACAAGCTTTTTAATATTTTAATTATTTTTTACATATGGCAGATTAAAATAATCTATCTCTACTTGCTTTGCAGTCACATGAATGCAAATTTTAAGAACTTTTGCATTTTATTTATTTTACCCATTGATATTTTGTTCTATTTTATTTGTGTGCTTTTTTTTCTTTTTGCTACTTGCTTCTCTTCCTATCCTCAGCTAATGACAACCAGCACTCACATGGTAAGACTATTGTGGATTTGTCATGATATCCATTTCATCTCACTGTTCTTTAATTGAGCTGTTAAAGAGCAGTTAAATATTTCCTATAATTATTTCAAAATACCACTTTAAACTTATAGAAATGTTCTTTATTGCTATGTTATAAGTACTTAAAATATAAAGAACTTCTATAGAGTAGAAGGTATATTAAGGTATATGAGGTGTGGTAAAGAGCCATGAACTTTAAAAAATAAGTAGGCTTTTTGCTTCCTTGTGTTTTGTTATTTTGTTCTATGCTTCTCTGTAACCTACATTTTGTTGCTGACTCTCTGCTATAGAAAATTTGTTACAGTTTATGCTATAAAGTGCTTGGATGGCTTTAGAAAAGGCTCTCAAAGTGGGAGAAAATAAACTAGGCACGATTTTGTTGCCTATATGTAATGTACACGTTTGCTAGAAATGCAACAATCAGATATCGTTAAATACCATCTTTGTGACATCTGTCAGGGAAATGAACTTCTAGCGTGTGAGAGAACACTTGATAGAAGGAGCTTTTCTAAGGACAGAATGAATTTCCGTTAGACATAACTGTACACTGCGGCACTTCTTTTTCTGGTACCATTATGTTCTCTCTTAGATGTTTAAAACTCTGCACCAGCTTATGTATGCTCATGTTTTATGATAAAATGTATTGCTTGATGAGACATTGTGACTGTTTGAGTGTCAGAGTAGGTTAGAAAATGCATCATCGTTCAGCATGCATGCTTGTGTGTATGTATAAAACTTACAGATTTTGAGTTGCAATTTTAGATTTAAAATCTTGAAAATGTTAGTGTTCAGGAATAGTCAGAGATACATACGAGAGTTCATGCGTACGTGAATGCTAGTTGGTGTTGATGGCGTTATTTCCAAGTATTTAAATTATGCTTACATGTGGAAAAAGTCAATGAAAGACTGGAGATACATAGGAGAGTTAATGCGTACGTGAATGCTAGTTGTGTTGATGGCGTTATTTCCAAGTATTTAAATTATGCTTACATGTGGAAAAAGTCAATGAAAGACTGGAAGATTTGAAAGGTTTACTGCAACAGTATGTTGCTATGGAACAGGGAAAAGGTAGAAAGCTGAAGGTACAAGGGCTGAACGTAACACCACTACCATAAATGATATAAGATGATTCAAGGTGGGTTCCAAATTGTTAAAATGAGTGCTGAAGCAAAAATTTTGAATTCTTCTTTCCCTCCGGAAATTAAATTATCACCATTGTTCCAAAACTAGTAAAAATTGAAGAAAGTCAATGTCTTTCACTTAGATGGATGCCTGTGTCAGACTAAAATTTACATACCATTAAGCTTGCTTCTAAACATAATCCCCCCAGGATGTTTCTCAGTATTTAGAAATTTGTTGGGAACTGCTTGCATGCTGTAGAGTGGTGTTACTAGAAAAATGGAAGAGTGTACTTGTAATTGCTGAGATTTACCTTATAAATACCTGACTCGGTCATTTCCTGGTAAACAAAACTAAGATGCCAAAGATTTATATCTTATTATTGTTATTAGTTTGTGATATTGCTTTGCGTATGGTGTTCCACTTTGGATGTGGCATGGTTGGTGTTGTAAAAACATACAGTCAGAGACCAACTACGTAAGCAAGGTAAGAAGAAAAGAAGGCACTGCAGAAGTGATTGCAGATTGTAAATGTCATCTTACTTTACCCAGCTAATAAAATGTATTTCCTGTGTGTTTTTTTTATTTTAACATTTGGTGCGGAGTGGATAAAATAGGAACATGGAAGATACAGCAGATACAGTTGCAGAAGGAGGGGCGGAAGTCTTCGACAGGCTGGGGGCAAAGCGCAGAAAAATATTTGTTAATAAACTAGATGTTAACAAACAGACTTACAAAAGAATGATTCACAGCCTGAAGACATGAGTAGTATCTTGAGATAGCCAATGCTGAAAATACATTGTGAGGTGTTGTAACTCACACCGTCCCATATTGCTCTGCTTGCCTCGCTCCGTGCCAAGTGAGCGGCCTTATGGGGTCTGGTGTCCCTGCGCTACGACTTCGTTTTCTGAGCCAAAAAATTGGGTAGGTGAAGGGTTTGGTTGCAGCCCGATGCTTTCTATCTTAGCCTGACAAACAGAGATAGGGGAAAGTCCTTTCAACTTTTTTATTTCATCTAGCAGCTTTTATTGGAAATACGGATGCATCTGTTCGGTATGCAGAAACTTAGACTAACACTGGGCTCTTGATGTCAGACATGACATGAGTAGTGTAAAAATTTAACTGCCAGAAGGAAGTCGGTAAACGTTTGCATAATTTGAAGTTCCTGAAACAGATTCCTTTCCAGTTTTAACTTCACTGATTTTTTTTTTTTTCCTTCTCTTGGTGCACACAAAATATTGTAGCAAGGGCATGACCCTATGCAACTGTTATATTAGATACCAAAGTAAAGGTCAGATCAAAATGCCGAAGGTTTTCTGTACTTCATTTTGTGTTCTGTACACTTGGTCACACACTGAGTAGTTTTAAAATGACGAAATGGTTACTCAGAATAATGAATCTTTCAGCCAGTCATATGTTTATTTTTTTAATGGTTTTCTGTTCCCACTTGATCAGATTCTCAGCCTCATTTACTACAGATGCCTGTTTGGTGGCTGGCTGTGGTCCCCATTCAGAGTTTTTCCCGTGGTAGCACATTTGTGTGATCACTTGCCTATGCAGATCCCCTGTCATCTAATATCAGGTGAGCTCGTACAGAATAATATAGATGGCAAGGGACCCTGGAGGCGATCCAGTTCAACTCCCTGCTTTGTGCAGTTCCTCAAGACTTTGTCTAGGCATTTTCAGGTTTTGAACATCCCTGAGGATGGAGATTCGCTAACGTTCATGGTCAAGCCGTTCCTTTGTTTTTCTGCCTTCATGGTGAAAAAATTTCTCCTAATACCTAAGCAGAATTTTTCTTGTTGCTGAAGAGAGAGGTCTGTTACAGTTCTTCGTCTTTGTGATAGTTCTTCAGATACTTGTAGGCAGCTACTAGGTTGTTCCTTAACCTCCCCTCCACCAGACTAAGTCAGTCCTTCAGCCTCTTCGCAGGAGAACTACAGACTGCTAACCATCTTGGTTGCCTGCCACTTGATCCTGTCCAGTTTTTTTCACATCCCTCCTGAACTGAAGGGCCCAAAACTGGGCGTGTTCCATGTTCAGCCTCACTACAGCTGAGTGGAGGGGAGTGGTAACCTTTCTCGATTCAGTGGCCGTGTTCCCATACAGCTCGGTTTGCAGTTTCCCTTATTTATAGAGCACAGTATAGGCTTGTATTCAGCCTGGAGTCCACCGTTACCCCACTGCAACTTCCTTTTCAGCAGGGCCATTGCTCACCCGGTCAGTTCCAATAAACGGTGTTGCTCCTCCATAGGTGTAAAAGTTTGCACTTCTCCTTATTGAACTTCCTAAGATATCTGTTAGCCCACTTCTCAGATCCTTAGAGGTCCCTCTGGATTAAGACTCTGCCATTCATTATGTCAGCCGCTCTCTGGTTTGGTACCACCCGGCAATTTGCTCGTGACGCTCCCTGTGTCGTCATCCAGGCCACTGACAGATACTCAGCCACATCAGCCTGGTATCAGTCCCTGGTGTAGTTCACTGATTATCACCAGCCAACTAGACATCAAGTCATTGTTCACTAAACTTTTGAGTCCAGTGGTTCAGCCCGTTTTCAACTCAGGTAGTAGTCTGTTTACCCAGGCCGGCCTGCCTTATCTTCCAGATGAGAATGCTGTCCCAGTCAAGTGTGAAATGCCTCGCTAAATTCAAAATAGATTGCATCCCCTGCTCTCCCTCCGTAACGACTCCTTAACCTGTTGCTCCTACACTGTTGGCTGCTCCTTTCCTTCCCAAGCTTTGCTGTTAAATGCAAGGAACAGGCTTTGCTCTTGAAGACTGATACCCAGAGTACTGAATACTTCAGCATTTTCTTTAACGCCTTCCACTAGATTGCCTTACCACTCCATCAGTGGACTTACATTTTCCCTTTGAAACTGGGATACTTGTAAATACCCTTTTTCTTACCTTCAACACCCCTCACTAATCTTAGTTCAAGCTGAGCTTCAGCCTGTGGGTTTCTGTTCCTCTGTACCCAGGTAATGCTTTTACACTACCCGTTTGCTGCCTGCCCATATTGTCATCTCTTGTACGCTCCCATTTCGCCTTTTTCTTCATTGAGAAATGTCTTGCTTGGCTGATTGGGTCTTCTCCTGAAATTTCATGTCTTCCTGCAGAAGAGGGTTCATGAGATGTCACCGTTTCTCTCTTTTAAAATCATTCAGCTCTCTTGGGCACTGAATGCTCTGAACAAAGCCTTTTGTTCTAAAATAGTGTGTCCTAACTCCGTTGCTTACTTTCCCAATGTTTCTCTGGATCCTGAACTTGGTCATCTCATAGCTGCTGCAGTCCATGCAATCCTCTGTGACCGTATTCGCCACCACTTCTTCCCTCCATCAGCATTAACGATCATTTCTGCCCACTTGAAAAGCTGAAGTGTTTTTATTTCATGATGCAGGTGGGGAGAAAATCAATGATAATTCAAAAGTCTTTTATCTTAAAATGTATGTGGAACACGGATGTACTTACGTGGCTTTGACAGTTATCACATTATTTCGTACTGTTACTCATCTGTGTAACGTGCTGTTGAACCTCCAAGAAATCATGGAACACCAAGGACAGTAGAGGAGAGGGACAGAGGAAAGATGATGTTCAAGAAGATTGATGAAATTATTGCAGTTCCCTTGTAAATCTCAGTGATTTGTTAACTGTGCTACACTTCATTTTTATTAAGAAACATACCTGTGAACTTGAGGTTGAGTGCCTTGACTGTGGTTTTTTCCTGTCTGTATGACACCTGGGGTGTGTATGCACAAGGGCAGGAAACCAATTTGCACTGGATAGATCATGTAAGAATTCAGTTTTGTTCCTTAAGTGTCGGTTCCTGATACAAAGCAATACATAGCTTTAAGAGGTTTATTATGGACAGTTCACGAAGTAGCGGACAGCATTACCTATAACTGCTTTGGACCATTTTTTGTAGATGTTTGGAAACTGGACCTTTGGAACACTGGTGTTTACCGTACTCGTGTTCACGGTTACACTGAAGGTAAGCTATGCTGTGGTTTATCCCCTGAAACTTTCCTAAGAGCTTGTTTCCTAATTGCTGCTTACTTATCTTGGTTTCTCTCTATGACCATACATTCTCGTATTAGTTTAAATACAGATTTTACTGTCTGTGCCGCCTTAACTGCTCAAAATTGAAAAATGTTTTTTAGCTAATTCTGTGTAGAATCTTTCCCTTTTTTCAAAGGGTGTCATTTTATTTCATCTCCTGCTGAGTATTCTGTTGCTGCTAGATAGTAGTAACACCGTATAATCTCATTTGGGTTTTTTTCAGCTTGCACTAGATACACACTATTGGACGTGGATAAATCACTTCATGATCTGGGGATCACTGGTATTCTACATTATCTTTTCTCTGCTCTGGGGAGGAATTATTTGGTATGACCCCTAATATAAATTGCATCACAAATGTTATTTCAGAAACAGTTGTTATAAAGTTGTTACTAATTTACCTTTTTCGTCCCAAACAGAATTAAATTTAGCTTTTATGTATGGCAGAATTCCCGATAGCACTCACATTTTAAACGCTTCAGTAATGGTTAGAAAATGCTCAGCCCTTCTTTCACTGAACGGCTGCTAAAATATTCTTAGAGAAGACTACAAAGAGAAGAGTATCAGACCTGGGGCTGCCACTGGGGCTGCCTCAGCCACGGCGGTCGAAAGCAGCCCAAGGGTCGGTTCACGTAGCTGGGGCTGGCTGGCTGAGGCAAAACGTCCCAGCGTAGGTCATGGCTGTGCAGCCTGGGGCCGGCCACCCAGGCTCTGGGCTTGTCGTAGAGGGAACCAGCTGTACCAGTTTAAACTAGGGCCAGGGAGTGGAACTTACGTTGTGGGGGTGACCAGGAGTCCTATGTTTGAGCTCATTCTTTACCCCCTTATTTAGCAAAGTAGATTCACTGTAGATGAGCTAGTGTAACTCTCGTACTTGGCTGATTGAAAGTAGTGTTGGGGTTTTTTTCTCTTAAAAAATTCCGCATACTTGAAACTGAAATTTTGGGGAAGGAGATCAAGTTGAAACAGGTTCAATGCCCGATTGCCATCAGGAACTTAAATCTGCGTTTCTGACCTGTAGAGTGCCCAGTTACAAGGTTATCTTTTCTAACCCCTTCTGCTGGAACTGTTCCACTTTGGTACACATAAGTGAACATCCTGGGGGACCAGCGAGAAGGCAGAGCCTAAGAGTTGCCTGGTGATGAAGGTGCCATTTAGTTTGGAGTAAGGGTTTGTATTTCAGTGTGTCCTTTGCAAATCAGTAACCGCCTGTCAACTCCGTGGATGTTCGGTAGCCGCCTCTTTTTTTCAGTAAGATCAGATCTCAGTTTCTCCAGCATCCAAACAAAACCAGTTTGTACAAGTGGCGTTTTCCCTGCTAATGTTTTCCAGCCAGCCTTGCTGTGTATGAGAGATATGACTATTTACGTACAGCAAAGTATTTTAACTTGATTACCTTTTTAGATTGCAGAGACTTTTATCAAATTTTGGAAACTAGCAGTAAACTGCCCTACTAGTAGGAGGGCTTTACACCGCAGTCTTGCTACAAACTGTCCATCGGTCTTTGCTCACAGTAAGCACGGCCTCTGGTTCCCATTGCCGTACAGTGATGGCATCTGAATGACCAGACAACGCCACGGAGATACAGGGAAACACGGAAGCAAAGGCAGCCAAAGTGGTGGTGAATAAAATACGTGGTGAATAACTTAGGGAACATAACATGAAACCATCAGAGAAGCTTAGGGCAAGCTGGAGAGGTATGAAGAAAGGTGTAGGTGCTCAGGGAGCTTTACTTTGAGTGTACATACAAATGAGTGTGTGATGGGAAAGAGGAGGAAAGTACTAGGTGGGACACTGAAAAGAAAGGTGGAAAGTATCTGGGGAAAGATAAGGAGTAGGGGGAAGAGCATAAACAGGATTAGAACGTAACTTCATTTATCTCTGCAAGGGAGAGGCAGCTTGGGAGGGAGGGCAGCACGGTATTTCCGACAGCACGGCGGACAAGAGTAAGGCAGCTCGCTCTGGGCAGTGGATGTTTAGGTCTCCTTGTGAGAAAACTGGGATGGATGAACTCCCACAAACTGGGAAGTTGAACATGCGATATTTCATCAGTGTCACAATTTTTATAGTTAACATTGAGAGTCTGTCTTCTGTGTGTTGAAGTGTAATATCTGTTTAATCTTTTTCCTACTAGGCCTTTTCTCAATTATCAGAGGATGTATTATGTGTTCATGCAAATGCTGTCTAGCGGTCCTGCGTGGCTGGGTATAATTCTGCTCATAACTGTCAGCCTTCTTCCAGATGTTCTCAAGAAGGTCTTATGCAGACAGTTGTGGCCTACAGCAACAGAAAGAATCCAGGTAACAATATTTTTCATTGTGGAATTGGTTTTTTGTATCACAAGTCTGTAACAACTAGACCTTTTCCAAGCTTTAGAGACAAGACTAGAACAGAGGCTCCCACCTGTGCTGTGTACCACCGGTTGTACGCCAGCCGCCTCTGGGCGCTGGGGGGAAAGAAGCTGCCTGTCATGTACGCGGTGGGATTTCCCTGAGCCCTGGGGGCAACCCCTGTGCCTCCCTGCCAGCAGCCAGGGGGCCATCAGCTGATGAGGACGGTGGGAGGCAGGTCTGTGGCTCCACGTGATTCCCGACTTGAGGAGATGAGAAGGGTGAGGGGACTGGGGTGCTGGTGAGGGTAGGTCGGAGGCACTTACATCGGCCTGGACAACAGCTGTTCCTGCGGTTATATTCAGAGGCACTGCCCACACCCCTGAAATGACGTAGTTATCTTTCATACCAAGTCATTCTGCTGCATAAATGAAAGTCTAATGTGGACGTTCTAGCATTTACTGTGCAAGCTGAGCGGAGTTATCAAAAATGGAAAACCAGCTAAAATAAGTGAAACTCAAAATAAAACGGGTAGGAAGGGAGCATGTGGTTTTATTGAAATCCCCTTTAAAGCAGGGATCTGCACGAGCAGTTGCAATCCTGTACCAAGGGGCTCTACAACTGCGTGTGTGTTCATTATTGAATCAATCTAGAATTTATGCACTTAAAATAAATGTGATGAATGTATAGTATGTTGGTAAGTAATACGTAGTAAATTCACGCCAACGTTCATATTGCATGATCCGTGCAATATACTACTTCTTTAGCAAACTATTTTGTACTGATGCTGTGCAAATTAAAACTTACTCATATTCTATTAATCATTTTTTCCTCCTTTATATTTCAACTTACATTTTGCCTGTTTTGATACATTATTTCTACATAAATGTGCCTTGCTGTGCCAGTGGGAAGAGTATTTTAAAATGTGTTGTCTCCTTTCTTCTGAGCAGCTCGAGAGGAGAAACTGGTGTGTCAATGCAGGCCCGCCGTGCGTGGCGCTGATCTGGGGCCAGCAAACCAACCGCAATAGAAATTGTTACCTGTAGTTTTGACCCCAGCAAACTTTCATATGTTATAGATGTTAGAAGGTGAAGGGCAGTAGAGGTGTTGAACCTAAAACTTAATGTTACTGCCCTTGCCCTTTTCGGCCCATCAGCTGCCCCGGTAGGTTAAAATTGTGAGTTACCAGCAGCCGTGTGCGTAGGGATTAGTTAGCATTTTGATGTTTGTTTGAGAAGATACTTTGCATTAAGAGGAAAGGAGTAAAGGAACTTTACTTCCAAAGAAAATAAAATTTCCCCTTTAGCAAAGGTAAAAAATTATTGTCTTTTATCTGCAAAGTAAAACCCCTTGTCATTGTTTTGTATTCCTTGAAAGTACAGTTGTGACAATGCCCCACTTCAGGAGGACAGGAAAGAACCAAGAACAGCAGAAAAGCCTTCCCAGGCAGATCAGCATTTCGTGTTTTTCTGTTTCGATATCTTTAATAGATGTCTCTCTGCCATATATGCTACTTGTGGAAGAAGTTGATCTCAGTATAGGTTCTGCATGCTTAATTTAAAAGTCGAAAGTGAGAGAATGAGGATGGGTTAACGCAAAGAAACAAGCTAGCAAACAAAAGCCCCAAACAAAGGTATTACAGCGTTTCTTACCTTGTATATTAGTGCTGGAAAATGAATCAATTGTAAAGCAGACTTTGGGCTTAACACTGGCATTATTCATTGTTTAAGATTTCGTAGAAAATCTTTGACTTTTAACCAGATATATCCCTTGTGTTTCTTCTTCCCTCTCTGTTTCTTCTTGTCTGCCAATCTGCTTTGTCTAAATAACTGCTACCTTGCTTTACACATCACTGATGTGCACGGGTCCTTCCTACAATCTGCTGGGGAAACCAGACTAAACACCAGTGCCTTTCTGTTGAGCAGTCCACCATCTTTATGCTTTCTCAGACTTCAAGCAGTCTAAGTTTCTAATGGAACAAAAGGTGACTTTTTTCTGCCTTTCTGCATGCTTGGCCATTTCATTCAAAGGACAGTAAAAAGTTTATTATCAGAAGTTATTTACCGTACTCATTATCTCCATTTCTGATTCACATCAACTATATTTGGAAGAATAATACTTTTTAGTGTAGTTTTTTCTTCCTTCTGTTTATCTCAGAGATTCTGTGAACCATTGTCACAGTCCATCACTGTCACTGTCATTTTTGTCACTGTTGTTACTGAATTTTACGTAACGTTTCTGCCTCAAGAATCTGGGATTCTTCGGTCCCCATTTTAATCATTGGTCTGTCCGTAGGTGAGCGCGTGTCCTGTTTGCGTTGTACCTGAGTAGACGGAAGAGTTGCCACGCAAAGAAGCAATAATTCCATTTGTGCTGATGTTACTAGAGTCATAGAGAAAAGGTGCTCCTGGGAGCCGCTTAAGCAATCGTTGGAGTGTGTTAATATATCTGCTTTGCTGCAATAGAAGAAAATGCAACTTTTTTATTAATAAGTTATTTCCAGCATGTGTTTTGAAACTAAGCTTTCCTTATGTTCCGTTTTAGGAAATTCTGTGCTCTTTCTAGAAAGAAAACAGCTCAAGATCCAGAAGTATATGACGTTTAATATAATATAAAAGTAGAAGGAATGCTAGTAAATCTTGGCTTCCTTACAGCCTGCAAGAAAACTATTTCTGACTTAATACTTAGGAGACTATTGGTTTCCATTGTGGATTTTTTATCTTTAGTTCTTAACTAGTTAAGATAAAAAATACATTTCCCCCTTGTTTCCCCTTCAAAAATGTATAGTCAATCAAATTGACTGTAATTTTGTATTGATGGCTAGAATTGGCTTTTAAGTGCCTTAGACTTGGTTTGAACTGAGCTTTTAAACAATTCTTTTTAAACTTAGTGCATTCCTATAAGCCATATTGCTTACTAGCAGCCACCTCCCAGGTTCCCGAGTTAGTTCTCCTCAGGCAGTAAGATCACGTAACGCCCTTGAAGCAATTCTTATGCTTCTAAATGTTTTCAGTTATTTGAGAGTCACTCTGGTGTGTGCTGCGTGAGTGTTTGCCATCATCATTCAGAAGTTTTTAAACATTCCAGATGGAGTTCTGGGGCTTTTTGAGAGCGCTTTTCAGTGATATGCGTATAGATATATATAGAGACGCACACACAGAGCTGTATCTGTATGTGTGTGTACACATACATGTATGTACGTACAGGTGTGTATACATATATGTGCATGTGTATTTATATACACACACACATGTATGAACTGTTGTCTGTCTTGGGCTAAAACATTAATTCTGCAAAAGCTTTGGAGGAATCTGTTGCCTTTTAGTAATTTCAGTCAAAATCTGCTCGTTTCTTACACATGCACTCCCAGTGACCCTTTGGCTCAATGAAACAAGCTGAATTTTGTGCTTTACCTGGAAATTGTGCAGCTGTGAGGTTTCTTTCAGCCTTTACTTCTAAAAAGCAATAGGGTATTTTTTTAATAAATCCAGTCTACATTAATTGATTACAGTTCCTTTTTCTTTATTCTTCTTTCATTAACAGCAGAAGCTCAGCAGCTCTGTTAGGGAAAATATAAATTCACTCTAAATTGCCCTCTTCTCATTTTTGTAACTGTTACTTCGGTTGATGTGGTTCAGCAATCCCAAATCTCTTTTAGCTGAAATACCAGGTGTTTAGATTCTGAGCTGTAAATAACTTCTGTGCTTTTCTCTCTTTTTAAGAAATATTTTTCTTTTTCTTTTCACTTCTGGCTGCTGGTTTTTTACTTCACTTTCACTTCAGTCACGAGATCAGCCCCTCAGCCTCATTACGAGACCTCTACCCTTTGCTGCCCTTGGGGAACCCCGCAGTGGTACTTTGGCCTGGGGATTCACCGTTCTTCTGTCCCTCGTGGGGCGTAGCTGCTGTCCCACAACTGCACGGGGCTCTGCACAGCCCGGTCACCAGCAAACTGTTGCCTTTGCCACGTGTGGGGCTCCTCTTCTGTGGAAAGCAAAGAACGAACCTTGCTCTTGCCATAGCTGAGCCCCAATGGAAGAAGTGACCTTGGTAACTGCCCTGCCCTGCCCTCCCTCCCCGCGGGGCCACGACAAAGCCGTACGTCGGCCACCACCAGCCCTGGCCCCATCCCCTCCCTGTCTGCGCTCCCGCCAGGTACCAGTTGTGGGACGGGGCCTCTGCGCCTTTATTGGGAACCCATTTGGCCTCGTCGTAGCACGGGGACCTCTCCCGTTCGGTGCAGGTCGTTGTCAGGGGGGCAGGAGAGACGGCCCACGGTACTGAGTCGTGGTACAGTTAAGTGCTTCGGAGGGTAATTAAGTATTTTTAACAGACTTTGAAATGGAATTATAAAAACATCCTCAGAGCAGCTCAAAGGATTAACCTCAGGATCAAGAAATGGAAACCCTGTTTTACACGGGATAACCTTTCCTTTTTAGAGCTATGAGAAAATCCGTCACTTTTACGGGACTTTGCTACAGTAGTTACATTTGTACCAAAAGGTGCAATTCATTCACCTTTCCCTCTTGTATTCAGCAAGAGCCTCACTGTTTTTCCTCATCCTTGCAGAAGAGTATGAGACATAAAACAGCCCCAAATGCACTGGCGAACAGCGATGGGCCACTTCTTGAAGGAAATCTCTCAGCTTCCGAGCCATAATTAGATCAAAGCTAGGTAACATACTGTACGTGTTGCCAGTTTGGATTAATCTCTATTGGTGATCTGTGCTATTTACAAATCAACTGTTCCTCCAGAGTTTTTGATGTACTTGATCAATATTGATACAAAATCATTATGTTTTACTTGGAGAGCCTAGTTTTTGCAAGAGATGTTCCATGCCACAGGTAAGATTTTTTTGTCTCAGACACTTACTCATGTAAGGCGAAACCATGAATGAACCTACCCATATTAAAGTCCTGTAAGTACATGGTGCTATCTATAGGTGTTGTGTGGCATTTCTTCTATAAGAACTGCCATCGTTATTGCAGAGTGTACTCGCATTACACTGTAGCGTAGAATACATAAGGTCAGAAGTAATTCTGACACACGAGCAGTTTATCTGTCATCTCTCATGCTCTTGAATACATCTATAGACCAAATGCAGACGGTAAAACAGGACGATAACCATACGAAAGGAAGCGAGTTACTTGTGAGCAGGACGGTGGGGCTGTATATCTGACCGTATCGACCACAGCGATGTGTTCGGTATAGACCAGTGCCCTGCTGCATCGCTGCCGCGGGTCAGGCGGGCAGCGTGGCGGCCTTGCCAAGCACCTGAGACAGCAGCAGGAGTGCTGAGCTCCAAAACCCTCCAAGCACTAGGGCAGCAGAATGAACTTCTCTGCTTTACATCACCTCCTTGCCATGCCACTGATGACACCAACAAGCCTAAGTAAGAAGGGATGCTTTTTTACTCCAGCACATTCCCACCTGGATGCTGTATCTGCTCCAGTCCCTTCATGCTCTCCTGACCCCAAAAGCAGCGCATGAGGAATTAAGCGAAGGTGCAAAGTGCCAGTATGGGAGGAGGACAAAGGCAACGTACTGGGCTGTGTAGGACTTCAGGGCGGTTGAGGGGTGCTTTTGCTTTCCTTTTTGTCACTGCTAGACAAGTAGTAGTAGAAGACCCCAGCTTTCTTGAGTAGCTTCAGGCGTGGCAGGTTGAAAGCACTTGCCTTGGAGCTATGGGTAGATAAACCATGATTTTAATTTTAGAAATACGTATGGTAACTAAAACGCTTCACTTTCTACCTGGAAGAGTACGAAAAATAGTTACCATACAGTGTATGACGACTCCCTCTGACATTTCCAAAACAAAGTCTGCGAATCTGTTACCTGATGATCTGCATTTTTCTGTATTAATGTTGGTATTTGGTCTATATGTGTATTTAAAAGAACCCAGGCCGCACTGTTAGTGAGCAGTTTGGTTTAGTTTGCTGACTTTTCCAAGAGCATCTGTTGTAAGAAAGCTTTCTGATTGCTCTTGGTTATGCACGAGTAGTGTTTCAAGCTTGTGACCAGCATTAAAAGTGTCATACGAAATCTCAGCCAAACTTCTGTAAGCTACATCATTAATATTAATTTTGTGATTTGTCCCTTTTGCTACTGTGTTGCTGTTAACAGGGGAAGAGGAAGGGGATGATTAAGAATAGAATATAGAATAACTGGCTTATGTAGCATTCCTGGAGAGTGAGTAGTGACATTGATTTCAGTCATGCTTATAACACCTTTATATCTTAAATACTGTCACATAACCTCCATACCTGGAAATTATATGTATATTTAGTGAGAAGAATTGGATAAACTCCTTGGGGAAAGTGCTGTGCTAATTTTCTTTTAGTTTGTGCACATGTTCCAGGGTCTTGTCACGCAGCCGTGGTGTTGCTGTAGTCCTGAGTATTTCCCGAGTGGAGGTGCCGATTCTGCCAGCGTGTGAAGTGATTATGTGGTACAGATACATTTTAAAGGACAGTTAGACTGAGGTAGTACTGTGATGTGTGGTATAAATTGCGTGTATGGATGCTACCTGTAACCTAAGCAAGTCCAAAATCCGATACTGCTTAGAAGTACAAAGCAAGTGCATTAAACCTCTGGCACGTTCATCCATTAGCACAAACCGACTGTAAAGAATTCCCTCTCTCTTTGGAAGTACAGGGCAAAGTACTTGGATCTGCTTTGTCTTAAAATTCCCCATAAGTCCTGACTAAAGAAGTTCAGAGATAGAAAGATGTACCAGGAGAGACGGCAAAATGAAATATAACCCTGATTCAAAACAATTCAACTTGAGAGCAGTCCTCTGTGTCCTCATCTGTTCTCTGAAGAGCCCATTATCAGGTTTAGAGATGATATGTAAAATTATGCCTGGATCTGTAGGTCTTATTATAAAACTAATCATGTTGAAAGTGTTTGATTGCTCAGCAACATGAGGGGTTATACCTTTACGTGGAACAAATAGCCAGAGTGGTGATCTAGTGAAAGGCGTTGTTATACCAAGGGCACAGTGGCCCCATGAAAGAGCACAGTTGTAGACTTTCAGCTCCAAAATCACCTCTTTACTGTGTATTTGGTTTTGTGTTTTTTTTTTTTCCCTTGAACAGAATGCATCAAGGCACTGTCGGGAGCACATCTCGGAATTCACACCTCTTGCCTGTCTGAAAAGCCCAGGATACAGGAGCAGTGACTGCAGCAATTCCCCAGCAAGAAGGTCTAATTCTCATTCTAAAAAAATGATGTTTACGCACTGGAGAGGCGTTGATTATTCAGTACTTCCGTCTGTCTTTGGCTATGCAAATAAGCATTGCCGTGCCAGTGCGGGCTACCGCTACAGTGGGTCAGGTTTGGAAACCTCTGTATGACAGAACACCAAGTCAAGCCTTTAAAAACTGTATTTTTGTTCATTTCTTTTTTCAGGAAACAAACATGTCACAGAAATATATTAAATTATACGTGGCTTTTGCTGTCTGAGGTAGTGTTCAGACAAACAGGATCAAGAGCTAGGAGTACGAACCCTTCCAGGCCCATAGCCCTCTTTTTATGTTTTGAACTGCTGGAGCAATGAACAATCTGCACAGTCTGGTACTGTGAGACTGGTAGCACTAAAAATTCTCTTCATCCTGTGTCAAGACTTTTGTGCGTTTGCTGCTTCTGTCATCTTTAGTAATTTTCTTTGTTATCTGAAGTGCATAGTTTCAGTCAGACACCTGCATTTTGAGTTCAACAGTTTTAATTTTCAGCCAGAAGCAATGACCTCAGTTATCTCCAGTGAAAGTCTCCTAAAGCATATTTAACAAGTGCTGTTTCTGATTTTCCACTGTCCTTTTTCTTTCTTTGCTCTTTCTGTAGAACAAACTGGTGTTTCCTCTGTGCAAATCTGCTTTCAAGAAACACTCTCTAATGTTCACTTCCTTGTAAGTGGCCAAATCAGGGCTATGTCTGGTTTTCAGTTAGTTTTCCCCCATAGAAAGAGGCAAACCCATCCTTGTGTGGAGTATGTACGCACTATAGGAAGTCAAGTTGGCTATTACATAGGTAAATACCACCACTGTTGATATCTACTCAAAACTGGAATGTAAGCGTTTTGCCTTGAAAGGTCTTTGTCAATTTGTCGAAGATGCAGATGACTCACTGCGCTTTCCGCTTCCTACCCCTGTGATTGTAAAATCAGGATAGCGGAAAGCATTGTATATTAAGCATTTTTGACACATTTTTTTCCTTGAAGAAAGGCTGTTCTTCCAAATAAGCATTTTTTACTGTCTGGATTCATCCTCTTAATTTATGGGGGGTTTTTTTGTGCATATGGTTAAATACCAGCTAATCAGCATGGTAGATGGATTACAAAGCACACGACTGTTAATTTTGGCAAGCAAACCAGGAGGCGGCACACGGCTGTTCGCTAACAGTTGTGATGCAGAAACTAGATTGATGGCAAGGATTCTGTTTGAATTACTTCAAGAATGACAGCCAACTTGCACTTCTGTTTTCTCTGCTACATTTATGTTACCTTGCGCTAATTCAACTATTAGCTGTGTCCTTGTCTTGTTTCTTTAGTCCAGTGTTTTATTTTGGGGTGCAAAAATACCTGAAGGAGTAATCTGATTTCAGTCCATTTCAGCCTGGTGGTTAGAACTGGTTAATGACCATCGTCATTAAATACCTCTGGGAGGACATGAGCGAAAAAAATTTATTTCAGTGTGAAAACAAAATATTTGGAATGAGAGCTGCAGTCTTTATTGGAAGACCTGGCCAAGACATTGTTAGTTGTCTTTCGAATCGACTAGGGTGGCAGAGAAAAATTATTTCCCTTTTTGTGTTTAAAAAAACCCAAAGACAGATGCAAAATAGTTTATTACTAATTTACTTTTTAATAAAAGAAAAATCAGCTTACTAGGAAATGTTCCTCACGATATTCCGAGTGATTTTTGCATTAAACAAGCAGTGAAATATTATTAAAATGCCCTAGGACAAGCAGAGATTGTAAAGGGAGTTGTGAAAATTTCAGTACACCAAAGAGAAGAGAATTTTAAGCACCACGATGAAGGTATTTGTACCATTTCACATGTAGCACTTTTAAGTTTCAAAGAACGTCCTCGCAGCAGAGACCTGTTGAAATACGTACGTGTGTGTGTGGGTGTGTGTACATAGACTTGCCATTGCAGACTTGAATGTTGGTCAGTCAGAACCGTCCCCTACATAAAACACTGGTGTATATATTTTTTTAAAGTTAATATGGGTATAAATTTTATACCAGTAGCAGTGACAAATTTCTTGTGTGTAGTTAACAGATTATTTGTAATGTATTTTTTAGAAATCTTAAAATTGCCTTTGCACTGAAATATTTTTCATACTGTAGCTATTTATAAATCTGTTTTACGCATACATTTGTTAACACACCATTTCTATTTTTTTTAAGTATATGTTTTGAAGGCTTTTTTTATACCTATGAGTTTTGGCCACTTAAATTTAGCTTAGAGTGGAGTTGTGGCTGAATGTTAAAATTCTAATGAATGTCAAATTAGAAATATAGGTCTATTGCTCTGTCAGTCTCACCCAAACTATTGATGTTTTGTTGGTATTTGTGGCAGAGGCGATTAGCGTGCCACCCTTCCAGTGCTGTACGGTTACTGCTAGCTTTTTTACTCTGTAAAGCCTCCTGCTTTTTTACTTTTCTGAGTTCCATCGTTTAGCCTTAAATAAGGAGATTTTTGCTCGATGTTTTTGAAAATGCTGCATTCCTGTTCTGCCTCCTAACAAAGCCGTTCATTGCAAACTTCACTTAGACATTACTGACAATGTCATTCAGGCTGAAACACCTATAGAAGTGCTTGGGAAATTTTAGTTAAACACGTCATTTTTTTGGAGGAGAAAGAATGCGTGAATTTAAGTGGAAGTTTCTGCTTTGATTTAGCAATACTTTTACCTTTAACAGTTGGTACTGTTTGTTAAAATAGACTGTTTAATGGAAAAAACATAAAACATCCAGTCGGTTTCACTTGCCGTGCTTTTGCTTCGCTCCCGTTCCTCTTGCCATGCAACCCTAGTCCACTGCAGCAGGCGTTCGCTTGGAGTTTTGTTGTGAAGGGATCAGACGATACAAAACTGAAAAAGCAGAAGTTAGATCAAAATGCTTTAGAATGTTTAACTATGGATGGGACACTGAAAGGAGACAGGTTTTTATGTATTAAAGGGGAAAAGTACAAAAATCTATATAACTTCCTAACTTGCCTTGTTTAAATTGTTGCAGCTTTAACAGCGTAGTGTCTCCATAACTGCTTCTATAAATGTCTTGAAACTGGTAAGCGCTAACCAAATGTATGTGAAGACTTAGAAAGTATTTCGAGCTTTTCGGCCACTGAAGTTGATGTATTCCCGCAGTGGCTTGTGGCAAAAGATCTTTTCCGTTTTACCATGTACAATAATTGTTTGTTCAGCCACTTAATGTAAAAGCTTACAGTTTACTTTCTTGCTTGCGTTAGCCTGTTTGTCTTGACTCAACTGGCTTGCAAATATAAAAGGAAAAAAAATAGCTGATTTGAGCAACTGCACTACTTTTCTTTTGGAAGCCAGTGGGATCATTGCTCATGCTACTGTCTCTGTTAAAAAAGCTTTAATGGAAATTTGTGAAAGTATTATGAAAGTGCAAAAGTACGTGATTCTACTTTGCAGGATAATCTAAAAATCTGTTTATATAGCTTTAGTTTTTTACTGTATGAAAAATCACAGAATTTTAATCTGCGTTGTCTCCGACATAAATTCTGTGCTATGTACACGTTGCATTTTAAATGCCCTTTCATGATCTAATGTAAAGTAGAATCGGCGAAAGTTGCTGTACCGGGGGCTGGGGAGTAGTTATCTGTGCATTGAACATTAAAGATGTCTGTAGTCATCAGCACCAACTACTGACACTTATTTTTTAATTGTACAATTATAGGTGCTTTTATTTGAAAATAAATCAGCCTTCAAATCTAATGCTTAGATTACCCTATGCCACTTCATTTATTTGATTTGAAGAGTCGGTGTGTGAATACATTACTGTAAAGTTTCTTTTCAGTGCTATTTTTAACTTTTATTTCTGTAGATAACCAACTATAACTTGTTTATATTCAGTCACATTTTGGATCCTTACGTAGAATATATGAGCAGGAGATATGAATCTGCTTGCAATAAATATAAACATTCAAGACTGATTTAAGTTTGCTCACGAGTAATTAAAGTAATTCTACTATGAATATGAGATGGTTTCATATTAGTCTGTAATAAAATGTAAGTAGATGACAGAAAATGGAGTGAGTGTTTGATTCTGTTATTGAATATGCTTGGAGTCACATTTCTTTTCAGAGAGGCTATGTAGCCAGCTAAAAAAGCGAGCTAACAGAAAAGGAAATTCAGAAAACACTGGAACATGGCGGGGCAGGAGGGGGGTGTTGCAAAGCAAATAGAAATTGGTACCAGTCCAGGAGAGCTTTGTTCCTCCTGCACAGATTGGGTAAGTGCTGAAGTTCCTTCCAAACTAAACTCCTAAGCTACACACGAGAAGATCAGTATTTCCTTATGGTTCTGCAGTGCAGGGTACCCAGAGCTATTTCTCCTTTCTTTTGCAATGTTGGCAATTTAAAGAAACTAATTAAAGGCGAAACAATGTGTTTTGCCATCGGAGTTGGTAGCAGCGTTCACAGGTCCTTACACAAGAGGCTGCGTGCACAGATGTACTGTCGCTTTCTCCCATTGCGGGACTTTCTGTAGTGTGGAACCACTGCAGGCTGCGCGGTACCATGGCGCGGCGAGAGCGGAGGTAGCCCAGCCAGCCTCCACAAAGCAGGGCACAGCCTTCGGTCGGGTGCCTTCCTCTTCGCTCGGAGGCTGTGTAGGACGCTTAGGTGCTTTGGTTGTGTATGATTTTGCACTTCCCATAATAAAGACTTCAGAGTAATGCGTTTGTATTTATATGAGCTTTTTATCCAGACGATACAAGCATTGTAGATTGCACTGCAATGCGAGTCAGGCTTCTCTCCGTGCTCTCGGATCGGGCCCAGAGCAGATGATTTGAAATCCGCCTTCCTTGGAGGCCCTGGACTTCTGCACGCCTGTGGGAGATGCCCACCTGCCCGATACCCCGGACCTCACCAGGCGCTGGGTAGAGCAGCTGCACAGACAGCGTGCTCACATCCGTTCAGCTGCACAGCCAGAACAACACCTCTACCGTTACCAGGTTTGAGTCCAAGGTGATCGTACTCCTAGGTAGTACTGGTCTGCGTACAACATAGTAGGTGCTTACTGCAAACACTTCACTGTTGGAGATAATTCTGGGACTCCATTTAAAATCTACTTTTTCGAGGGGTGTAAGTTTACACATTTGTTCCCAGCCCAGAAATAAGAGATTTTATTTTTCTAAAGAAGCATTCCATTCAGTTGCTTCTGTTTACTGTTCTGAAAACAGCCAAACAAGGAAACAAAAATCCACAGCATTGCCACTTTACATTAAAATGAGAGTAAAGCTGATCAACTTCACCCCTGCCCTGCCATGTTGCTCATTGTCTTAAAATTATCTTGGTCTTCTAGTTATGCATCATACCGGGAACTTTAACTAGCAGCTAAAATGCTCTGTACA